TATGAAGTGGCTGTTTGCAGCCGCGCTTCGGATATTATCATCCCAATTTTTTAATTCATTAATTAATTGGTGAAAACAGTAACAAAGACAGGAATCCAAAATCCAACTTAAATGTAACTTAATATAACACAAACCAGAACCATGGAGACATCAGGGGAAAACAATCAGCAACAGGGAACCAGCAACGACAGAACCAGCGACAACAGAAGCAGCAGAAACAGAGGATCCAACAAGGAGTGACAGCGAAGGGAGTGTATATATAGCTGACTGAGACAAAGGCAGGGCTAACGAGGTGATAAGGAGCAGGTGTGAGTGGAGCCAAGGAGGGAGCCAAGGGGAAAGGAACACACACAAGAGGGCAACAGAGGACAACAGAAAAAGCTGAGAACTAAAATAAATCCAGAAACACAAAGTAGGAAATAAACAAATAAAACACACAGATCAAAGTAAAACAGAAAGTAAGACCGTGACAAAATGGCTGTTATTAGCAGCTATCAGGCCCCTTGAATGCCTTCAGATTGTGCCAGTAGACTCCTTAGGCAGTTATCATCGAGTGAATCACAATCCTAACCCTGATGTAATTCCCCCCCCCCCAGCGGCATTAATAAATCTATTTATGTGTAATCTGAATATAATGTCTAAGTTCTCTGTGTACTGTAAATATGAAAAAAATTTTAATTAAATGATCCGCATCTCGCTCATATTAAACAAACCAAAAGAAAGTATGTCATCTACACCTGTCAACTATGTTGTGGAATCCTCTGCCTGTAAATATTGAATTCTGTGTGAAAAAATGCTGATCATTCTTTAATAAGATCCTTGTCAAACGGACATGCAGTGTTTGTTTTTAAAACCTAATGTGTAACGGACCTAGGGAATGATTTTTTTTAAAGCACAAAAAACAAAAGATTGGACTAAATCAGGAGACAAAACAACGTGATTGGCTGTAAGAGGAGCAGAGACAAAAGAGGAGACTCTGAGTTTACTGAAAAAAACAACCTGCTACCGACCAGGTTAGCTCTGGGGAGAATGTTACCATGGTGAATGAAACAGTGGTTGACTAAACTCTCTTTGTGAAATGGAAAACTCAGAGTTTCCCATATTTCAGGTTAAGAGAACTTAAGAGTTTTCATTAAACATGCTTCATGAAACGGAGCCCTGCACACAGGTGATTCAGGTGTTTATCAGTTACAGGCTGGCTGAATCCCAAATCAGCCTCTAAACACTAACCCAAAGCATTAACCCTCTATTTGCACGTTCCCTCAGAGGGTCCGTAACATTAAGGGCCATTCCAAACCACGTAGTGAGAAGGGCGAGTGGACCATTCAGCCCTTTACTACTGAGTCTGCATCAGTGCAGTGGTTGTAACGGCGATCGAGTGGCAGAGAAAACAAGTGCATTCAAATGTAAGTATAGCTGCTTTGCTGCATCTTCATCACACTAACAGAAAATCACAAGTTAAGATAAAGAGAAAGGATTTCATTAATTCCTAAATAGAAGGTCCTCTTCGAAATAGTTTTATTGGATGCGATTACATTGGATGTGATTAAATATTTGCCATTTTCCTAAAAATGGCAAATATTTAAAGTCATGTTAATCTGCACCACAGAGCTACAGCCACGCAGTTGCGCATCACTGCGTTGCCATAGAAACGACTGCTTCGCCTTTCCTTTTGAGTGAAGAGGCCATCACATTCATGTTTATACCCCCCATGTATAATCCAGGTGCCTTCCACAGCTGCGAGTGTGACTTTATTGCGAGTGACACTTGATGGGTTAAAGGTTAGGGGCGGTTTGGGATTCAGCCGCTGTGTCCGAACTTCTGCACTAATCCCTTAAGCACGATGTAGAGAAGGGACTATATACAGTAGTGGACTTTATAGAGATCTCAGTTAACTGACCATTCGGACAGATGATAGCTACTTTTCGTTCCTGCTTCCCGCCCACAAAACAAATTCAGGATGCTTTGCGAGGAGAGTTCTTGCAAAGCATTCTGGTATATTGTTAGGAATCCAGTTGGTGTGGGTTGTGTTTTTGTTTGATTTCCCTCCACCACCAGGTGGCGCCTGGTTCTCGTTGGCCTTCTCACACACCTGCAGATGGTTGCCTCATTACCAGAGGACTCTTAAGCTGCTGACTGCCACTACCTCGACGCCAGAGTGAGTTTTGGGTACTCTAGCCAAACTGAGTTTTTGTCATCTGAGTCTTAAAATTAGTTGTTTTTTGTCTTTGCCTCTCGGCAGGAAGTCATCCTGCAAACTGGATGTTTTGGACCTTTTCCCCCCTGGAAGGATTGTCTGAACGTCAAACTGAGCTGGGGATTCAAACAGGTGGTTTGGATCTACTTTTCCCAAAGGATTGTTCGGGCTTCACACTCAGCAGGGGATTCATCTCCACAAGAAACCGTTCAAGTACCATAGGAAATCTAAGTGGCAGTCAGCTCCTCCGTTTCTCAAGGAAACACCTCAACCTGGGTAAACCCTGTCCACCCTCCAACGAGCAAGTCTATTACTGGAACAACCCACACCGACTGAATTCAAAGAAAGACACTTTTTCTGGAAATGTGAGTCCTGTTGCCTTTATTCACCTTGTACAAATCGAAACACAAATTTCCCTCTGAGCCTGAACTAACCGCAGTATCTTCCCCTTCACTTTTCAGTCCCGGTTCGCCAGTGTTCAGAGCAGCACTGGACCCTTCTCTACCAGTTCATAATAAAACTGTTAAACCATCCCCTGGTCTCTCTGTTTGGTTTTCTGCATGTGGGTCAGATCTTTGGATAAAATCATGACAGATATATCTGCTCGTCTAGTGACCGTGGAGGCACACTACTTTTCAAGGTGCATTCTGGGAAATTTTTGACTTCACTACTTTTTGATCGTTTGGACACCCATGTAAAATGGTGTAACTGCTACTAATGGGAAGCAACTTCTGACATGAAAGAACATACTACACTAACACTAACAAATGACATGGCTCCTAGAATACAAACTTAGAGTGAGGAAAACTCAAGTGTGACACTGGTCATGGCAAGAGACTGACAGTGACATTGAAGGAGCTGCAGGAATTTCACAGAGCACCTTAGCAAACTTATTTTTAATTAAGTGATTTTGACTCAGAAATGCAGCAATAGTAGCCTACCCCACACCCTCCATGTCAGGACTTTTCTTTACAATCATTTCAATGCTGCAATTTTCAGCTGCTAGCATGCCTTTCTTTATCACTCTTTTTCCTTCTTCTAATCTTTTACTTAACATGCCTGAACATGTGACTCACCCTTTTGACTCTATTGGACAACTGACAAGTCTCCATGGATATTTAGACCATGACTTAATATTTCTTTGAGGAGAAATTATTTTGTTTACTCTTATTACCTATACAAATTTTCTGTGAAACAGAATTATCTTTGATCCATTATAAGACACATATTAGCTTTTGAAATTAACATCCATGTGTAATCCATCAACATTTTGGACTATTTCATTTCTTTAAAGAAAGGAGTGGAGCTAGATGTGGGCCAGGGATAGCCATGGCCACCCTTAGCCAATCATTGGCCACCCATACCATTTTTTTTCCATCTAATACAGACGGTGGCAGCAGGAAAACATATTAAGCATTTAAATTTTTCATATATTAACAAATACATGCAACAGAAACACTGTGGTTAATTATGCACATCAATAAACAAACATTAAAGATGATAGATGCAGAATTCCTGCTCTTTTCAAAACTAAATTTTGAATTATTTGGGGCAAAGGTAAAATGATGTGCCTCTGCAAGTCATCTAGGAGTCTTCAGTGAATAAATAAATAAATAAATAAATACTTTAATAATAACTTAAAAATTCATTTAATGTGGATATTAGTAGATTTAAATGTCTTTTTCTTTTTTTGCAGAATGATTATTGATAAAAGTAGGTAATGACAATGTAAAATATGTTCGCCCCAGAACTCAAATCTGAAAGAATTGTGTCCACTATACCTTTTATGTATACAGCATAGATGCTTAAATATATCCACCAACTTATTTGCAAAGGGTGCAGGAATGCATAGGTAGTTTTTAATTAGAAAACACTGATGTTGCGCTTGTTTCTGTTGGAACAGCGTAGGTTGACCCTGAGGTTTTGGCGCCTTTCGGACACCTCTCAATGGATTGCTTATTGACTGGCCACCCCTAATAGGATTTTCTGGCTACGCCTCTGTTTTAAGAAGAAGTCTAAATCAGCTACCTCCTCCATGAGTGGATCCTCTTTCTTGAATGACCACTGCGGTCGGCAGATGTCGCTCTTTGTGAATACTGACACATCCTGCAGCTGCAGTGTATTTCGCACACAAACCTTTTCCTCCAAACCCCGAGTTAGTTTATCAATAAAATCTATCAAACATAGCCGACACATAAAACCATATTTGATGTTGCTTTTAAAATAGTTTAGTTAAAAAAAAAGTTACTTCACACCCAATAAACTGCATTCAACATATGAAAAAAGAGTTTTAATACAATGTGGTGTATTTTATTTAATTTTTTCTAAAACTTTCACTGTTCTTATTTATTTATTTTGAGCTGTTGACTTTTAGTAGTTTTGCTCAATTAATGTTGTGGATAAAATTCAGGATCCTCAACCTGAGTTTTTTTTTTTGTTTGTTTTGTTTTTTCTAAAGCAGAGCGGCGAATGTGACCTGAATGCAGGGCATGACTTAATGGGATGAGACGCAAAAGTCTCCTGAAGACTCCGAAACGCTTTCGCAGCGTTAGTCATCGGTCGACTTCCTGGACTTACATATGCAGCTTCATTGTTATTTTTCCTCCCCTCCTATTTTATTCAATTTATCCATTTATTTATTTATTTTGGAAGTGGTGAAATGCCTTGGCTACAGTAGGATGCGTTCGTAAGGAGAGAGGGAGAGACATGGATTTACGATTTTCATTTGTTTCATTACAGCAAGAGATCCCCGCCGATGAAACACCATGGAGTGACTGACGCGCTGTATTAAAAGGGGGGAGAGAGACCCTTTTTTAAAAATCATTATTATTTCTTTTGGAGCCCCTCGGCGATCGGTCTTATTTTCTCTCCGTCAGCGGCTGGTAGGGGAGGCGGAGAGAGAGCCGCGGTGGAGGGCGGCGTATTAACGCTGCAGCGTGCAGAAATAATTCCTTTCATTTATTATTTTTTTTTATATCTGCTTTCTCATCACTATATTCTCTTTTCCCTGGAATGAAACGGGTCTTTTGGTTTTGCGATCAGGCTCCTCCAACTTGTGCTTCACTGCAGCATTTTACGTCTCTTCCCTCCGATGCAGATGATAGGGAGAACCATAACAGCGGCACCTTTCCACTGCAATTTTTGGGGGCAAAGATAAATTTGCGTCGTCTTATGGCAGAATAGAGACGAAGGGGAGGAGGTCCACGATTCCTTCCTTTAAAAAAACAAAACAAAAAAACATTTACAATGCCTTATTATTAGCGGGAAGCAGTGACTGGATTTAAAAGCCAGCGTCATCCCCGTTGCAAAAGCTGCTGTTTACCCGCTGAAAAGCATTTGGGGGAAAAAGCAGCGGATCCCGATGGCATGGACACTTATGCAAGGTCCGCCGCGCTGCCGTGCTACTGCTGGAGCCTACTCGCTTTCTCTTCCTTCAACCCAGGTCCACCGCCATCGCCCTGCAGCCCAGAGTGCCCTGCCGCAACGCGACCAGCCCCCACCGAGCCAAAGCAGGCGGCATGAGGCTTGATCCGGTGCATCTATCCATGCTGCTCATCGGGGTCTCATTCGCCTGCTACTCCCCGAGTCTGAATTCCCTACAGGACCAGGCTTACAGGTCCGCTGTGGTGATCGAGGGTAAGGTGCAGTCCACGCCTGCGGGGAACACGTCCGCGGATCCGTACCGTGTGAGTGTCAAAGTGCTGGAGGTCTGGCCCCTGAACAGCGGCGGTCTGGTGCGAGAGCAGCTAGTCACTGTGGGGGAGTTCGGATCTGAGGCTCAGTGCGCCAAAGTAAAGAAGAACCACAAGTACATTTTTTTCATGGACCCCACGGACGAGCCCTTGGTTTTCAAGGCATCGTTCGCGCCCCTTGACACGAGTGGGAAGAACCTAAAGAAGGATGTTGGGAGGATCTTGTGTGAGGACTGCGGTAAGTTCATGTTGCCTCAATGAGGTCCAGAACCCGGAAGAATGGGCAGTGTGTTAACAGGTATACACCCGGTGCAGGCTGACTGCGTGGCCTCAGCAGGGCTTAGAGTCACTGGTCACCAGATCGGTGCCAAAGGGGCGTATATGCAGCATTTTGCCACAACTATCGCAGGCTTCCATAGCCCACATGATCAATCAAACTCTCTTTCTCTCTCCTATTCTGTAAACTGAATTAGCCCTGCATGCGCCTCGCACTGTTGCTTGGGTGGAATTACAGTTTTATGAGTTCTACAGCAGTCTGCATAATTATTTAACCAGTTGAGCCAGTTTTATTTAACCTCGATATCTCCAGGGTTCAAACTCAGGTGCCTCTCTGTTGCATTTTCTTTAAAATATAGGATGAAAACCTCCACATAACGGACCGGATGCAGTTTCAGCACCAGGGACAGCGGCGTGTTGCCGGTAGCCTGTCACGTGTAGACAATCACGCTGTCCTCAGCAAATTGGTTCCTAGGCTATTTTTAGTTTCATACCCAGCTTTAATGCTTTAATACCTAAAGCGTTTGGAAGTCTAAGTCCTTCTGACACATATGCATCTATATACAAATCTAGAGCTGTCTGCAGCGTGACATTATCATCATGTTATGTCCTTTAACGTTTCAGATTCTATTACTCCAAACTTCATGTTTTTTGTCATTTAAAAACTTTAGACTGGATTATTCCTTTAATCTAACTTTTATCAAGTATATTTCCACTCTAAAACAGAATTTATCTATGAAGAGCAGCATATAGAAGCTGCAATAGCCTGGTTACATAAGTGCAGACACCATTAAACTTTGTTAAAGCAACCTTTGATCTAATTTCAGCATTCAGTGTTCTGAAGCTCTCCGCTGCGATAAATTGGAGGGAATTCGATTAAGAAGAAATAAAGTTCAGCTGCCCTGGTGGGATTTGCTTATTAGTTTCATTGTATCGGGTATCAATCAAAAAGAAATAGTTGCCTCAAATTATTTGTATTCCTAGCAGATTAAGGTTTAAGACAATCCCCTTATTTTACCAGCCCTTTCTTTATTGACTTGACATAATACCAATGTAATACTGATCTAAAAGGGATTGATTTCCTTAATGACTAAAACAAAGCATTTCATTGAGAAGCATATATCCAATCTAACATTTTTTTTAATAAAAATGAATTGCTGATGTGGGTTTTTTGTTAGTTGTTGCTTTTTATGCTTTATTGTCTTTTAAAAGGTGCCTTTCTCCCTTTTTCATCAAAACCTCTAAATTTCTTTGTTTAGAAAATACTTTTAAATCTAAATATGCCAGTGAAAAAATATTATTATTTATCTAATCTGACATGCTTTGGTAAAGTGAAGGGAGTCATCATTAATCTTTGAATAAATATAAGACATTTTTCCAAAATAAATAAAAAAATGCAAGAATATTGGCCAGGGAAGGTGCCAAGTGGCAGCATTGATGGAACAGTAAGAATTTCCAGCAAGCACATCATGTTCTACAAGTAACAACCATCTCTGGTATGTTCCAATATTTCTAAAGAGACCTAGCCAGACTACACAACTAAAGCTGTGTCTCTGGTGTTGCTTGAATATGATAGAGTGGGTGAGAGTTTTTTTTTTCTCTCACAAACTTAGGAGGGAAATATAGTTCAGATCTGGGATACTGATGTACATGGACCTAAGACAAGTTAATTTGATTAAAAAAACAATGTTTAAACTAAAAGATTAGTCCTTTTATTGTAAGCATATGTTTTCAAAAAACAAAAAGTTTGTTTAGAATTCGAGTTAGAAGAGGTTTGGTTGGGATTTGTAATGGTCTGGATGCTAATTGATTGTAGCTCAAAGCAACTTTTAATGTCTTCTGTCAAAACAAAATAATCATAAGAACAATTGCAGTTTTGAAAATGTTAAACATTTTTTTAGCAACCCATTCCTGAAGTGCTCAGTCAATGAGCAGAGTTACCTTGTTTCATTTGGTGCAGAGTTTTTGTTCAGCAAAGCAAAGATACAATGTGTGTCGAAGCACATTTCATGAATGCAACAGTTAAAGAGACATCGCTCTTGTATCTTCAGATTAATTTAAGGAACCTTTGATTTTATTCAGATTGTGCAAAACTTTTATAGAAACAGTAGCTTTTGTTCTAAAGGGACAAGCAATGGTATTTGATCAAGTTAGAGGTTTATATAGCATCATAAGGATTTTTTGTTTTATCTCAATCTTTCTTTTAAACACTAGAACAGTGTGCACTTTTGATCAAATTAATTGTTGATCTTTTTTTCAGACTCTAAGATCCTCATTATTTGGATAAATTGTTGTTTTTTTTACAGCCATGATCAAGGCTCTGCCATGTTTCCTTTTCAAGTTTTCAACCATTTGATTGAATGATACAGTCATAAACCAGATTATGCTTTAACACCAGTGTGGCTTTCCTTAATAAAACCACTTTGACACCAATATGGACTAAAAACCTTGCTGACTAGAGAAGAAAGAAGCTCCTGCTTCAAAAATTACTCAAAGCTCCCAACATGGATGGGTCAAGTCAGATGTCTCTTTAGGAAAGTTTTCTGATTATAAAGTGACAAAGAAATATTTAACAACATTTAAATGAAGTTGGATAAGAGAAGTCAATGTGAGGCTTTAAAAACCTACAGACACTTTATCTGTAGTCAACTTGTTGATGGAAGCATCGTTCTGAGGGTCTGTTTATATGAAAGGAGGAGAACTACCTCTTTTCTATAACTTTACTCAAAATGAATTGCCATATGGTTGAAACTTGACGACTGTGATTCTAAGTACACATCAGAAGTGGTTTTGGAGAGAATAAAGCAATAATCAATTGATTCAATGTAGAAATACTTGAAAGAGAAATGAAATGCTGTCCTAACTCATAGGATTTAGCCTTTGAGTAAAGACACACTTCAGTCTTCAAAAGATTAGGCTCATGGCTGTCAATAAGGTTCTTTATTTTACCTCTGACCTCAGCCTAATTACAAACAAACAACAGTGCCAGTAAACCATCAACCTAAAGCAACTTTTTTTTGTGACAGTATTGAAATACTGAGACAGAATGATGCCAAGACTTTAATTAAGCCAAAAAGATTTAAAGGGATCTGAAAAAGCAAAAGAAGCCCAGATACTTTAAAACTAGAACACAGCTTAGAAAATAAATTTCACCGTCTTCAAATAAACCTTACTTATATTGAGCATAATGAAACCAGTTTAGAAATTACTTTCTGAAATGCCAGAAGCAACAACTTAATATTTAAAGAAATATTTATTTGTTCAAGTATTGCCTTTGGGTTCGCTACCATTAATTAAGTTATTTGTGACAGGTTATTGTTTTTAATTTTTAGGTAGAAATAGTTATCCACCTACAGAGTGTACATTATGTAGGTTTTAGATCTAATTTACAATGAGGAACAGGATGGGGCCACAGTTTTTTTTTTCATGGTACACAGAGCAAAATACAGAAATAAACAAAGAAAAAAAAACAAGGCAAAAATATTTAATCGCTCAGTATATTAAGTGAACCAAAGAGCCTCTTCCAGCTTTGGAGCTGCAGGTTTTGGACCCTGATGTAGCAGATAAAAACGTTATTCTTGGTTGAAGTTAAACTTTACCCATCTCTATTTTCAAATAATTTCAGTAAAACTGTGAAGGTAAGAAATTGAATTGGTCCAAATAACTAATCAGTACTATTTTATGTCAGCACATATCATCAAAAGAAATTGATAAGGCCAAAGGAATTGGACCGACTCTGGAATAACTTAGTATCAGTCAGTTTGATGACAGAGCATCTAAGGCGTATACCTTTGTGGGATAAAACGCATTTGGGAATATTACAACATAATTGCATTATATGTAAAAATATGTTTCAAAATATGGGTCAAACATTTTTTAATCGCCTTAAAAAACTTAGTTTGAATTGCAAAAAACAAAAAACCCAAACAAAATACACTGAAAAAAATTTAAATGTTAACGTTATGTAACATCATTGCAAAACTCTTAGAACATGTATTGGTTTTTGATTAGGGGCATTTGGGTAGCTGCTCAAGGTAGCATCAAAAACTGGGTTATGACTATCCATCAGATGTGCCCTGAACAACATTTGTATAGTTTTTATACATGTGACGTCAAAGGCAGGTCAATGCCACCCTTTGTCAGAAAAGTGTTTACCTAGAGACTAGGTTCTAACTCCTTAGGTTGGGCTGCACAGCATTTTGCCCAGTGTTTACATATTTTTCATTATCAATAAACACACTAAAAGCATAGGAAATGAATGCTGGATGCACCTGCCTCAGACAGTATATATTCACGTACCTCCAATAAGAACTAAATCTTTACACAGTAATGTTATTACAATGGAGAAGCTTTAGTTGGAAAGATGTTGCTGAGCTTTTGGAGTGTGGACTCAACTCATGTGAACAATAAAGATGTTGGCTGGTTTTTTTGTCCAGATCAGTCAGAATTTTTGCTGCTTTTAGGGGTAAAAAAGTAAAAAAAAACAAAAAAAAAAAACAGCACAATACAAAACAGATGTTGGTTTTAAAGTGCCTTAAGATTAAGACCCTCAGCAAAACAACACTGTAGGGGACGTATCATTGCCCAAGGTGTGGGTGATTGAGTTTAAAGGTTTAATTGCAGTAGAATTGTGGGGATACATCAGCTACAATCAAGGAGATGCCTTTTCCAGGGCTGGCTGTTGTTATTTTCAAAGCAAGGCTCCATCTGCACCAAGTGTGTTTGTTATACCCAGCTCCCTGCAGTAGGTATCTTTCTCTCCATGGCACATCATGAGGAAGAGAATCAGATTATATGGAGTACTGACTGAGCAGCAGCAGCTTTGAGGTCAGATTGAAAGGAAACTGACTGGATGATATTCACCTGTTGATATTCTCAGTCCTTAAACAATGAAAAAAATTTATTGAAAGAAACAGCAGTGGATATAAGGGTTGAACCTGCCCTTCTTAACTTTATTTTAAT